GAATATACAATTGATATGTTGTTCTTAAAATTGTATGGGATTTCTAGAATTTAATGCTATCAGTCATAATTTTGGTTGTTATCTTAAAATGTATGCCTTAAAAACAACTGAATTTCCTTGTCAGTTTCTGGCTATAACGAACTCATCAGATTTTTAGCCCTGGTCATTCTGCCTCTGTCATCTACAAAGAGTTATTGTGTTGAGTCTTTGAGGGAAGAGGATCCTTTGAACCCAGGAGTTCAAGACTGTGGTGAGCTGTGATCATGTCACTGCACTCCAGCTTGGGTAACAGAGTGAGATGTTGACTCAAACAAACAAACAAACAAAAAATCGTAGCATGGGACTGGGTGAAAATTTTCAGAACTCTAATGAAGAAAATGATGACCTCATAAAACTGCTACCCAAGATCAAGTAAAACAAAAATTAATTTCATCGAACTGAATGTACCGATAAGGATAATGATTTTAGTGACTTTTAAAATTTGAAATTAAATAAAATGATTCTTTAAATGTTTTACTTTCCAGATTTAAGGAATTTTTAAAAAAGCTATCTATAGCTTATAGCAATATAGTAAAGAATACTTTTGTAAATAAAAATGGAAACATTTACTTTTTATCCCTACCTGATATTTCCAGAATTTGGAAACTATTAATGAGTATTTTTATTTTTATGGTAAATAGTTGCATGCATAAATTAAATGAGAATCTACTCCATTTATAACAGAATACAACTGAGAATATTGGTTATGGGACCAAGACTTTCACTGGGATGTCATATTTGAGAATGTTACATAAATGATCCATAGGAACTGCAGTCTAAAGTCTACCTTGGTTTTGCTTATTAGGCTTGAGAGACTTTTAAAAATCCAGTATGAGATCCCTGATCAAAAGCTTCAGCAAAGCAGACATAAAAAGAGCTAGTGTGGTCAATCACTAATCTTGCTGCACTTGTAAATAATCAGGCCAAGTTTGGTGAGTTGAAACTTATTTTGCAAACAAATTAGTCTTACTCTGGTCATGTTTGATAGAAATGGGGGGGACTATAGTAAGAAAAAGTATGTTTCAGAAGAAAAACAACAGTACACTTGTTACTAGATTGTAGCCCTGTTAATTGTCTTCGAGTTTTTATTATTTACCTGTAGACTGGACTGGATCCTGAGTTCTAATTTCCTCCAATATCTGTCTACAATGCTTCCTTAAAGAAAAAGAATTGTGCTGTTTCTGAAGCCCTATAAGTTGAAGCTGAACAACCCCACATAAACTTCAGGGAACAAGTCTTATGCCTGATATGTGGGCCGCACAGAGGGTTTACCAAAGCGCCCAGTGCCACAATTGAGCCATTCAAAATGCAAACCAGAATGAAAAGTTACAAACTTCATGGTGTGAACAGCTTTTCCCAAGACATCAGAACCAGATTCTCCATCATAATGAGACTCTTACCTCTCTTGATCTTTCTTCACTCATGCCTGCTACTTTCACTTGGCAGGATAATGCTCTAATTAGAATTTCACAATCAGTAGCTTCTGCAAGTAACTTCACAAAGTGTTGGATCTGTCATGTTACATGCCAAACCCAAATCTTCACATGTCCACTTAGTGGCTAACTTTAGCTACTTCCCTAACACAACTGTTTGCTCAAATTGTACAAGTGGTTCCTTTTACAGAGTTAGTCTTCTAGACGCACTTTCTGTTTTCATTTAATCCAGTCATGGGATGCTAGATTATAGAACTACTACCTATTAGCTGAACGGGGAGGAGTTTGTGTAGTTGTTGACACTTCTTATTGTTCACAGATAAATACATCAGGTATTGTAGAGACTCAGTTAACAAACAGGCTACTTGGTTAAAACAGGTAGACTCCTCATCAGCTTCACTATTTGATCTATTACTTTAATTGTTTTGGCTCGTGGCTAAGGAGCATACTCCAAAATATTGGTATTATCCTCCTGATGGCCAAAACAGAAGTTTTCCTGGTTTGCTGCATTCTCTCAAAAATTTTAAATGTTTGCACATAGCTATTCATCCAGAGTCTACCTTGGCCTCCCAGCGTTTGCTAAAAAATCAAGATCTAGATTGTTCATAAATAAAGACATTATATATCTTTTCTTTCAAGAATAGCTTTAGAATGTTTTTAGAAATTTTTCAAAGTTTTTGGCCTATTAGTGGTATTCTTAGTATCTAGTACTAATTCAGACTCATCTCCACTTGTATTCTGTTTCTTTGATTATTTCAATAACAACTTAAGACAAGGAATTTTTTAAAAGTTAAAATCAAAGAAATCATACAATTCAGATTTCAAAACACTAAATTTCCCTTAAATTGTATTTAACTCAAATGTACCAGAGCTGCCTTCTACCTCAAAACACCTAAATCCAACTTCAAGAGTGTTAAAGAGTAATGATGACCATTATCATAGTTTTTCTTAATGGAGTGTTTATAGTCACCTGTTTTGAAACCAAAAATTCATTTACTTCTGATAAGTTGTGTGAATTTCACTGGGAATTAAAAGATTTAGATTCTAACTCAATGTCTGTTATTAGAGTTGAGAAATTTTACTTAAAATCTCTGGAAAAAAATGTGGTACATATACATGATGGAATATTATGCAGCCATAAAGAAGGACAAAATTATGAACTTTGCAGCAACTAAGATGGACTTAGAGTCTATAATACTGAGTGATCTATCACAGAAACAAATAACTGAGTACCACATATTGTCACTTATAAGTGGACCTTGAACAATTATAATACTATAAGAAAGGGATTGGCAAGTGTACCTTGAACAATTATAATACTATAAGAAAGGGAAACTGCCAGGGGATGGGGGGTGGCACAACTCATCAACAAGGGTACCTGCATAATGAACATTTGTATACCTAGCCCTGCATTGTACCCCACATCTTTAAAATAAAAAAATAAAATAAATAAAAATAACCTTTTGGGCCAGGCCAAAAAAAAAAATCTTTGGAAAAGTCGCACTATTATGTGTAGAAATCACTGTACTTGTTGCTGTAAGGCTTGGGTTTGAATATTAACTGTTGCGGATTACTAATGTATTAATGTCTGCCTTTGAGGAATTTCTTTATCTGCAAATGGATTACTGCTAATAACTGCTAGGATTATTGTGAAGATTAGGTGAGATAGTAAATATATGTGTAAAACTTAAATAATAGATGCTTGATACTTGTAGAGGATGGTGGGATAACAGCAAATAAAAATATCTCAAAATAAGGGAGTTAGAAAAAGAAATAATTTAGATGATTTATAGATCTTTTTCATCTAAGAAGGAAACCCTTTATACATTTGAAAAAAAATATTATTTTTTCTCCTCAGTGTTCTGATGTAGCGTGCTCTCTAATGACAGGCTTTTAAGGAGGAAGTTTCCAACATAAGCTGTTAATAGTATTAGTTGTTATGGAGACCATCGTCTTATCAGCAAATCAAGACTAATGAACAAATCTAGACTCTGATATAGAAAGAGGCTTTCTCATTCGAAAAGAAAAAGATCTACTCTTTTTGGTAGAAAGTGGTGGGGATACATTTTGGCAGGTGATATATTATGATGTGATGTTATCTATTTTCCTTTCCATTTGGTCTTAAAGTAAGAAAATATATGAATTTGACTTTAAATAAAGAAATTCAGGAAAGATTCCAGTTCCAAGATAATTCAAATTTGTTTACAAAATCAGATACTAATTACAATTAAATTATTGCAAATTATTGCAATTAAAAAGCAATTATCATAAATTAAAGGTTTTTAACTAAAGACTTATTTGTTTCTAAGCCTTTATACTCTTTTTCTTTGAATATGTTGTAATTCAGCTTTTTAAAAAAATGGTGATGAACAATGCCATTTGGGTTCTCTAGTTAAAAATTACATTTAAGGGGCAACCCCTTCGGGTCCCCTCCCACTGTGGGAGCTTTTCTGTCCTTTCAATAAATACTACTTTCTAAAAAAAAAAAATTATATTAAATATGAGTGAGAAAGTAGACCAATAAGAACCCAGAAATTGGCTCTGTCATAAGAAAACTACCTACAAAAAAAAAAAGAAAAAAAAAAATCCCTGTACTAAATGGCCTTTCAGCAGAATTCTACAAAACATACAAGGAGGAGCTGATACCAATCCTATTGAAAGTATTCCAGGCAACTGAGGAAGATGGAATTCTCCCCAAATCATTTTACAAAGCTAACATCACACTGATACCCAAACCAGGTAAAGATGCAACAAAAAAAGAGAACTACAGGCCAATATCCCTTATGAACATGGATGCAAAAATCCTCAACAAGATTCTAACAAATCGGATCCAAAACCACATCTCAAAAAATCATCCACCATGACCAAGTAGGCTTCATCCCTGGGAAGTAGGGCTGTATTCACAAGACCATAAATGTAACTAAATACATCAACAGATGCAAAAACAAGAACCACACGATTATCTCATTAGATGCAGAAAAAACTTTTGATAAAATCCAGCATCTCTTCTTGATAAAAACTCTCAAACACCTAGGTATAGAAGGAACATACCTCAAAATAGTAAGTGCCTATACAATAAACCCATAGCTAGCATATTCCTAAATGGACAAAAACTGAAAACATTTCCCCTGAAAACTGGAACAAAACAAGGCTGCCCATTCCACCCCTCTTGTTCAACATTGTGTTGGAATTCCTAGCTAGAGTAGTTAGACAAGAGAAGGAAATCAGGGGTATCCAAAGAGGAAGTCAAGTTATCCTTCTATGCTGACGATATGATCCTATACCTTGAAAATCCAAAAGAATCTGTCAAAAACATGCTTGCACTGATAAAGGCCTTTGCAAAGTCTTGGGTATAAAATAAATGTGCAAAAGACAGTCACATTCTTATACACCAACAATAAGCAGGCAGAGAACCAAATAAAAAGCACAATCCCATTCACAATAGCCACACACACACAAAAAAAGGCTCACTGAACGCGGCGCCGACTCCCGGGATTTGTGTGTGTTCTTCTTAACCCGGCTCGGGCCTACACACGAGCAACCATGTCTAAGGGGCCTGTGGTTGGTATTGATTTCAGCATCACCTACTCCTGTGTGGGTGTTTTCCAGCATGGAAAAGTAGAGATAATTGCCAATGATCAGGGAAACCGAACCACTCCAAGTTACGTCGCCTTTACTGATACTGAACGATTGATCGGTGACGCCGCAAAGAATCAAGTTGCGATGAACCCCACCAACAGGGTTTTCAATGCCAAACGTCTGATTGGACGCAGATTTGATGATGCCTTTGTCCAGTCTGATATGAAGCATTGGCCGTTCATGGTTGTGAATGATGCAGGCAGGCCCAAGGTACAAGTAGAATACAAGGGAGAGACAAAAAGCTTCTATCCAGAGGAGGTGTCATCTATGGTTCTGACAAAGATGAAGGAAATTGCTGAGGTCTATCTTGGGAAGACTGTTACCAATGCTGTGGTCACAGTGCCGGCTTATTTTAATGACTCTCAACGGCAGGCTACCAAAGATGCTGGAACTATTGCTGGCCTCAATGTACTTAGAATTATCAATGAGCCAACTGCTGCTGCAATTGCTTATGGCTTAGACAAAAAGGTTGGAGCTGAAAGAAATGTGCTGATCTTGGACCTAGGAGGTGGCACTTTTGACGTGTCAATCCTCACTATTAAGGATGGAATCTCTGAAGTCAAGTCTATAGCTGGAGACACCCATTTAGGTGGAGAAGACTTTGACAACCGAATGGTCAACCATTTCATTGCTGAGTTTAGGCGTAAGCATAAGAAGGACATCAGTGAGAACAAGAGGGCTGTCCGGTGTCTCCGTACTGCTTGTGAACATGCTAAGCGTACTCTCTCTTCCAGTACTCAGGCCAGTATTGAGATCGATTCTCTCTATGAGGGAATCGACTTTTATACTTCCATTACCCGTGCCCGATTTGAAGAATTGAATGCTGACCTGTTCCGTGGCACCCTGGACCCTGTAGAGAAAGCCCTCCGAGATGCCCAACTAGACAAGTCACAGATCCATGATATTGTCCTGGTTGGTGGTTCTACTCGTATCCTCAAGATTCAGAAACTTCTACAAGACTTCTTCAATAGAAAAGAACTGAATAAGAGCATCAATCCTGATGAGGCTGTTGCTTATGGTGCAGCTGTCCAGGCAGCCATCTTATCTGGAGACAAATCTGAAAAGATTTGCTGCTGTTGATGTCACTCCTTTTTCCCTTGGCATTGAAACTGCTGGTGGAGTCATGACTGTCCTCATTAAGCACAATACGACCATTCCTACCAAGCAGACACAGACCTTCACTACCTACTCTGACAACCAGCCTGGTGTGCTTATTCAGGTTTATGAGGGTGAGCGTGCCATGACCAAGGATAACAATCTGCTTGGGAAATTTGAACTCACAGGCATACCTCCTGCCCCCCGTGGTGTTCCTCAAATTGAAGTCACTTTTGATATTGATGCCAATGTCATTCTCAACATCTCTGCTGTGGATAAGAGTACAGGAAAAGAGAATAAAATCACTATCACTAATGACAAGGGTCATTTGAGCAAGGAAGACATTGAGTGTATGGTCCAGGAGGCTGAAAAGTACAAAGCTGAAGA